GCCCCCCCCCCCCCCATTTGTGTGTGTGTGCAGGAGGAGTTTCAGCTTGCTTTGTTCAAGAACAGAAAGAAGGAAAACTTGTTTGCTAATAGGGTAACCTAGTTTTCTTGGATCTCATACAATGATGTCATTCTGGACGAGAGATCATAACTTAAAAACTCTTGTTAAGCTGAAAGAATGGGGATGTAGAATTAAATATTATTGCTTTCTTGCAGATATTCGATATGTTTGATGCTAAACGAAAAGGTGTCATTGATTTTGGGGACTTTGTTAGATCCCTAAATGTATTCCACCCCAATGCTTCTCTAGATGACAAAATCGATTGTAAGTTGACATAACATAAGAGAGTAACAAATCTATTGTTTCTCTGTCTAAGTTCAATTGCAATTTTATTCATGTTGGTTTCATGTTTATGTCAGTTACATTTAGGCTTTACGATATGGATTGCACGGGCTTCATTGAGCGCCAAGAGGTAATGCCCAAAGGGTTGCATGTATTTTCTAGCATTTTTACTTTTGCATGGAAACAAATGGATTAAGTTTATAGCCAGTGTTCAATGTGGTAATGCCCAAGATCTAAATTGTCGAAATGGGTTGTTAAAGAAAATCCTAAAAGAGAAATCTTGGGCATTCCAGAGCTCTGGTCCTTGTCTTGTGTCCTAGATGGTGTGGTGTACAAAAGTGAACACCAGGACCAGATATATCATATATGGCATGTAACCCCCTTCTGTCTCAACACGCTAAGATCCAAAGGCCTTATGGTTTCTGTATAGTAGATTGTAAAACATCTCTGCTGAGAACATTCCAAAATAGCATATTGTAATTCTGTTGTTGATTATGAGGTACGCCCTTGCAGATAATAATTCCTTTTGTGTGTGATTTTTCGCAGGTAAAGCAAATGCTGATCGCCCTTCTCTGCGAATCTGAAATGAAGCTGGCTGATGAAACCATAGAGATGATACTCGATAAGGTTTTGTTCATTTGCACCTTGTGACTTTTTTTAGATATGAAAAAAGAAGTAATTTTTTCTTTTGCAAAGAAGCAGAAGATTTTGGTGGGTTAGGTAGGAAGCTTCAAGTTTTAAAATGTGGTTCTATTCTTTTGATGAACAGACATTCCAGGACGCAGATGTGAATCAGGATGGGAAGATTGATAAATCGGAGTGGCGTGATTTTGTGATTAATAATCCGTCATTGCTTAAGATCATGAACCTCCCGTATTTGAGGTATGCAAATTACTATGCCCAACATGTTTCTTTCTCTCTCTTGCCACTCACAACCATTCATGGATGCTGAATTTCTCTGGAAGAAACCAATGAATGGATTTTGGTTATTTGTTTGTGTTTCCGTTTTCACACATTGCTTAGGATTCAAAATGGAAACACCAAATGAAAATGTTATAATACAAAAACCTGCTTTCGATATGATTGCATGTCAACAGATAAACTGTGTTCTGTACAGTTTTCAATGGTTTTTTGGCGTTTGTAAACCCTTTTTCAGGGATATAACGACGACGTTCCCGAGTTTTGTGTTCAACTCGGAGGTGGACGAGATTGCTACTTGAAGTTACAGACGATTCTCTCCTAATTACACTGATCCGTACGTAGGTTGGCAAAGACCAAGACCGCGACCGAGACCGAGCCTGTGTTTCTTGACAAGTGGCCGAATCGATTTCTGCTTTGCCTACTGTAGAGCTTTTTTTTTTTTTTTTGGGGAAATGGATTATGGCTTCTTTCTGGTCTACGATTCGTTAACGAGTTTTGTTGAGTGAGTTTCCTTTCTTCTTCTCTTTTGCAGCTATGGGTCCCACGATTCTTACATTCTGGTCGGAAAAAAAAACATCCGATGTTGTACATATTATTACAGCATACGTTTGAGTGCTTGTAAAGACCCGTGATAACGTCATTTTTTTATTGTTATTGTAATATAGTATAAAGGACATATGATTAGTCTCTTAACCGTAAACTAAATACATATTTTGTGTTTTTAAAGTATATTACTTAGGGAAGCGTTGTAGGCCAGTGGAAAATGGACACGTGTCCTAAGAGAGCATGGAGTAGGCCGCACATGATCACTTCCCTTTCTCCACTGTCTTTCGGTGGCTTCCGATTCACCGCTCCACTCCTCCTCGTCTCCGGGAACCTAAATTATTATTATTCCCCCATCTTTCCCGTTTTGCCCTTCCTTTTTGTTTTTTTCTTTTCCCCATTTTAAAACAAAAACCCGGAAAAAAAAAACAACACACGTCACACGGGGAGGGGAAAAAAAGATCTGGCTCTACCAACAGACTACTTGCGAGATAGATATACGCCACCACGCACGCGAGACAGAGCTTCGCATCGAAACCCTCGGAATCTTCTCCACCGCCCTCCTCGTCGGTTGATCTATCTCCTGGCATGAATCGGCGTTGACGTTTTGTTTTTGGCGAAGAACCCACAGAGAGGGAGAGAGAGAGATCATGTACAAGGAGAGAGGGATGATGGTGGGTTCGAAGGCGGAGATGGCGGATCGTAAGCGCATCAACGACTCTCTGGATAAGCATCTTGAGCGGCCATCTCCGTCGACGTCGCGGCCCCTAAACGGCAAGGGCAAGGGAACCTCTGCGGCTGCGCAGTCCGTCTTGATGGGGAAGCAGCCCCATGACCACAGGGATTCTCGCCCTACTTCTCTCTCCAAGAACAACGTTTCCATCGGTGAGATTGTTTGCCCCTCTCGTTCATCGTATATGCTTGGGGATTCCTGTTTATTGTGTTTTGAATCCGATTTTAGGGCTTTTGCTCTAACCTAGACTATTGTCTCCCTGCCCTCAAAAATTGAAAATTTCTTTGCCGATTGATAAGTTTTCTTAATTATGCTTACCTCGTTCTCGTTGTGCATCAAAGAGATTTGGCTGTTTGAATCACACATTGAATTCGCCTTTAATAGGCTTCCGTTATTCATCTGAACCACTTTCGCTGGATAAAGCATCTAACTTCCTCAAGGGATGGTGCCCTTTTCTTATGGAATTTACGTTTTGGAGTAAAGAAACGTATGAAAGTTAGAAGCTTGACCATACTCTACCGCAGTTTCTGCTTTTGCCGGTACGAGTAAACTGATTATACATTTTGTGGGCGTTTGTCCGGTTTTGCTGGCCTTAGATGAATCGGAAACAGACAGTGAAGAATCAGATGTCAGTGGGTCTGATGGAGAGGACACCTCATGGATATCTTGGTTCTCCAATTTACGTGGAAACGAGTTCTTTTGTGAAGTTGATGATGATTATATTCAGGATGACTTCAACTTGTGCGGACTCAGTGGTCAAGTGCCATACTACGATTACGCCCTTGATCTGATTTTGGATGTAGAATCTTCTCAGGGTAAGTTAACGTTTGTTTTTTTATCATGAAACTTTTGTATGTGATCCAGTTAGCTTGCGGATCAGGACATCTCCTATTTATCAGTTTCACATGCATGTAGGATTCGAAATCTGCGTTGATCAAATGGAGTATTTCATGCCAGTAAAATATCAGGGATAATCTTACTTCAGTGAATGATCTGGATTGGCTGGTGAACAGGTGAGATGTTTACAGAGGAGCAGAATGAATTGATCGAATCAGCAGCAGAGATGCTCTATGGTCTAATTCACGCACGTTACATACTGACAAGCAAAGGATTGGCTGCCATGGTTAGAAACTTCTGCTTGGTTGCAATGTTTATACAATCTTACAAGTCATGCATCGATCAGTTCACTGTTAACGTGTCTGTAACAAATGCTTGCAGTTAGACAAATACAAAAACTATGACTTTGGAAGATGCCCAAGAGTTTACTGTTGCGGCCAACCATGTCTCCCGGTGGGTCAATCGGACATCCCTCGAACAAGCACCGTAAAGATATATTGCCCGAAATGTGAAGATGTTTATTACCCACGATCAAAATACCATGGGAGTATCCTTTTGTTACCGTTGCATTTACATCTGCAAACCTCTGCGATTACTTTGCATTTGAAGTATTTTAGTGTCTGAACCCTTTTAAGTGCCTTTAGTTCGTGTCCTGAGTGATTGCTGGGATACTTTTTGATTTAGTAATCAATCTTTGCTGAGAGATTTGGGTTGGGATTGTCCTAATCCACCTGTTTCTGTCATTTGATTCACGCAAGGAGGATAGTGCGAGAGTTTTGCTCAGATCCATTTGCATTATCCTGCAATCTGTTGTTTGGATTTCCTTAAAACCCTTTATGCAGACATAGACGGAGCATACTTTGGGACAACGTTTCCACATCTGTTCCTGATGACGTACGGGCATCTGAAGCCACCGAAAGCATCTCAAAGCTATGTTCCAAGAGTGTTTGGATTCAAGTTACACAAGCCTTGAGGGAAGGGAACATATTAAGACCCCATCCAGATAAAAGGTGAATCCCCTCTTCCTTTGTAAACGGAATTGGCAAAATCTCCTCATGTAGGGTGTGGAAAGTTGTAAAAACCACCTTGGCTACTATTGGCACTACGCTTTGTAATCTTCCCCCTTTCGTTTTCTTCCCAATACCCATCAAAAGGTGGGGGAGGGGAGAGAGGGGGGCAATGTCAGATCTGTGACCTATATTCATCAATTCCTCACTCTTTTTTTAGGGTTTTGACTACATAAATTTGATGGCAATTGTTAGGTCTCGAGTTTTTTTATTTTGGATATACTTAAGTCCCAATCTAAGTGCCTCTTCATATTTCCATGTGTGTGTCATTTGTTTCAAAGAAGAATGATGGAAAATATCTCTTTGGTCATAGGGAGGCTCTTAATTTTCAGGGTTTCGTCACGAAAACAAAACCCCATTTTCAAACACTACTTAATTCAGAGACAATCCCTCGAAAACAAAATTTACAAAGCATCTCCCTCCTCTCCCATTCATGGCTTTTCATTACAAGACACAAACATCCCTCTTAGAGTATTTCCTTGGATTGGTTTTCGGTTTTGTATTTTTCTGGTTATTTCCGGTTTAGCATTTTGGTTTTATGCTTAAATACTGTAGCGCGGCACTTTTTCATTTTTGAATATGAATACAGAAAATCTTTTCCCAATTCTCTCTTCTCTCGTTCAGCAATCTTCTCTCTGTGATCGTCTTCTTCACTGATTCATTTTGCAAATCGCAATATGGTATCAGAGCGGAAGATACTGCTTCTAGTTCTCTTTTTCGTCTGATTTTCTTGTTTCTTTTTCGAAACAATGGCTGATTTCGTGGAAAATCCTATTTCTACTCCGCCTCCGGCATTTTCGTCACATCCTGCTCCAGCGGCTCAGCCACTGGTGGATCCTTATGCTAATCCTCTTTATCTACATGCTGCTGATAATGCGAGTCTGATTCTCGTTACTGAGAAGCTGGTAGGTGAATCCAATTATCATGTTTGGTCTCGTGCTGTGATGAAGGCCTTAAACTGTAAAAACAAGCTCGGATTCATCACAGGTGCTGTTTCTACACCTCCTTTTAATCATCCGGATTATGGTCTTTGGTCGCGATGCAATGATTTGGTGTCTACTTGGATTTATAATTCTGTTTCTTCTGAGATCTATACCTTAGTGGTTTGCCTTGATACGGCTTATGAAGTTTGGCGGACATTAGAGCGTACATATAAACAGAATAATGTTTCGAAGATTTTTAATATTCAGCAACAGATCGATACTCTGTATCAAGGATCGCAGGGGTTAGGACAGTACTATAATCGCTTATCATCACTTTGGGAGGAGCTTAAGAATCATGAACCGATGCCTTATTGCAATTGTGTTGGCTGTACTTGTGGAGGCTGTACTTGTCAGCTGGAACAACGCTGGCTTGATTTTTATGATCGTCGGAATGTTGTTCGGTTTTTGATGAGATTGAATGATTCTTTTGGTGTGGTGCGGCGTCAGATTCTGATGGCAGATCCACTACCTGATATTTCCAGAGTTTATAATCTTTGTTGTCAGGATGAACAACAACGTTTGACTCCTTCCAATCCTCCTGATCAAGCTGTTTTTCAAACTAGTGCTGCTATTGTCAAGTCGAAGCCATATGTTCCTGCACAACATCAACCTAATTCACCAAATCCAAGACCTCGCCCAGTTTGCACACATTGTGGTATTACTGGTCATACTGTGAATCGTTGCTATAAGATTTATGGATATCCTCCAGGTTTTAAACCTCAAGGAAATCCTAGTCAGTTTCAAGGGAATTCTGGACAACCTCAATGGTCTTTCAAATCACAGCAGTTCAATAAGCCTCGTCCATCTTTTGGAGAAAAACCTCAGCACTCAGTTCACATGGTTGGTGTTCAATCTGCACCACCTTCAGTTGATGTTAGTCAGATTGTTTCTGATTCAGTTTCTGGCAAGATTACTGTTGCACAAGCACAAGCATTCTTATCACAGTTGTCAACTCAACAAAAGGATCATAGCTCCACTTCCATTCCTTCTGGTTTATCAGCCTCTCTCAATTCACCAGGTACAATCATTACCTATCCCATTTTATCTTCTTTTAATTCTACCTTACCTTCTTCTTCGATGGTCTGGATTATAGATACTGGTGCTAGTGTACATGTGTGTTGTGACTCAACATTGTTCTCTGATTTGTTCACCATTCCTCCAGTGTCCATTTCTTTACCTAATGGTAATCAACTTTTGGTTACTCAATCTGGTCCTGTTCGAGTTACTGACAGTTTATTTCTGGATAATGTCCTTTTTGTGCCTTCCTTTCGGTTCAACTTATTGAGTGTTAGTGCCTTGACCAAAACTTCTTCCATTACTGTCAGTTTTACTCATGACTCTTGCCTTCTTCAGGACCATACTCAGGCCTTGATGATTGGCAAGGGTAGACTGCTTCACAATCTTTATCTTTTGGACTTGGATTGCACTTCCACTTCAGTTCCTCTTTTTCAACCCAGCATTTGCACTGCTCTAGCTTCTGCGTCTCTCGATATATGGCACCAGCGGCTTGGTCACCCCTCCTTTGTCAAGATTCACACACTTGGAAAATCTTCGCAGCTTATTTTTACACCTGTTTCTGATCATTCTGTTCCTTGCTCTGTTTGTCCAATGGCTAAACAAAAGCGTCTTGTTTTTCCACACTCTGGTCATTTGTCTTCTACACCTTTTGAGTTGCTTCATTTGGATGTTTGGGGTCCTTTCCATTTACCTACTGTTGATGGACATCAATTCTTTCTTACTATTGTTGATGATTGCTCACGTCTTGTGTGGGTATATCTTTTGCATAATAAAAGTGATGTTCATTCAAAGTTTATTGCCTTTGTTTCTTATGCTGAAACTCAGTTTTCTGCTCAGATCAAATCTATCCGAACTGATAATGCTCCAGAGTTGAATTTTACTGATTTTCTACAGTCTAAAGGTATTTTTCATTATCGATCTTGTCCGTATACGCCACAACAAAATTCTGTTGTGGAACGTAAGCACCAACATCTTTTGAATGTCGCAAGAGCTTTGCTTTTTCAATCTAATGTTCCTTTGGCATATTGGGGTGACTGTGTTCTGGCTGCTGTATATCTGATTAATCGCACACCGAGTCCACTCTTGTCTCATAAAACTCCTTTTGAGGTCCTTACTTCACAAATACCTGATTACTCACATCTTAGAGTTTTCGGTTGTTTGTGTTTTGTCTCTACTGTTTCTAAAGATCGCCATAAGTTTTCACCTAGAGCAGTTTCTGGAGTCTTTCTTGGTTATCCATCAGGTGTCAAGGGTTACAAAGTTCTTCTTTTGGACACTCAGAAAGTGGTCGTTTCTCGTGATGTTGTTTTTCACGAGACAGTATTCCCTTTTCATTCTCCTACTTCTTCTGTTTCTGAGTCTGTTGATTTCTTTGATTCTGGTCCTTCTCCTTCTCCTTATATTTTGTATGATGATAGTTCTGCAGCTTCTTTATCTGTTCCAAATTCTTCTTCCTCTGCAGAGCCTATTGTCAGTACATCTTCTGAACCAGATTTTCCTTCCTCTGTTTCTGTGTCACCCAATTCTGGTGCTTTGGAGAACAATGTTAGGCCACAACGTCGTACACAGCAACCAGCCTATCTTCAAGACTATCATTGTTACCTTATTCATAACCATACACCACCATTATCTTCTTTCAAAACCCCATATCCTTTGTCTTCCTACCTTTCGTATTCTCATTTACACCCTCATTACCGTGACTTTGTTCTTTCTATTACCACTACCCCTGAACCTAAAACTTTTTCCCAGGCTGTGAAACTAGAACATTGGAAGAATGCTATGATACTTGAACTTGAGGCTTTGGCCAGGACTCAGACTTGGATTATATGTTCTCTACCACCTGATAAGCAACCTATAGGTTGTAAGTGGGTTTTTAAAACCAAATTCAATTCTGATGGTTCGGTAGAGAGACATAAGGCTCGTTTAGTGGCCAAAGGTTATACCCAATTGGAAGGTGTGGATTATTTGGAAACCTTTAGTCCTGTGGCCAAAATGACAACTATCCGAGTGTTGCTTTCGATTGCTGCTTCTGAAAAATGGTTAATTCACCAGATGGATGTCTCAAATGCCTTCTTAAATGGTGATCTGTTTGAGGAGATTTATATGCAGTTGCCTCCAGGTTATGTTACACTTAAGGGGGAGACTGTTCCACCAAATGCGGTGTGTAAACTGCAACGTTCTCTGTATGGCTTGAAGCAAGCTTCTCGTCAGTGGAATATAAAACTTACTGAGGTTTTGTTGGCTTCTGGATGTGTTCAGTCTCAGTCTGACACTTCTCTCTTTATCAAGCAGCAAGGTTCTTCTATTGCAGCAATATTAATATATGTTGATGATATTCTCATTGCGGGCAATAGTGAATCCTTGATTGCTGATGTTAAACATACTCTCAGTAGTGCGTTTCAGATCAAAGATCTTGGTGAGTTGAAGTATTTCCTTGGATTGGAGATTGCTCGGTCTGCTAAAGGTCTGTCCATTTGTCAGCGAAAGTACACTTTGGAATTGCTTGAAGACTATGGTTTCTTGGGATGTAAACCTGCCTCTACTCCCATGGAGTTTCGTCAGAAGCTACATGCTGATTCTGGTGATCTGTTGAATGATGCTCTGGGTTATCGAAAGTTGATTGGCAAATTGATTTATTTGTCCATCACTCGACCTGACATTAGTTTTGCTGTCACAAAGCTCAGTCAATATATGTCCAAGCCAAGGTCTGATCATTTACAGGCTGCACATCGTGTCTTACGCTATTTGAAAGGTAATCCTTCTCAAGGCTTATTCTATTCTGCCTCTAACACGACTCGTCTTAGCGCATACTCTGATGCTGTCTTCTCAGTGGACATCTCTGCTACGAGATAGAAGAAGAAAACCCAAAATAAATTTTACAAAAAAAAAGGAAGAAAAAAACGCTCCTCGATTCTTGAAGAGGAGACGTTTCTCCTTATTTAACTTCATCTTTTTTTCTCTCCTTGAAGAGCCCTCAACGTTAGCGTCTGCGTTTAGACACCATCTCTCCCCCACTTGTTTGGTTTCGTTCATTCCCTCCTGTTTTTTTTTTTTTTTTTTTTTTTTTTG